TATTTTTAAGTTTTTATTTCGTTCATATTACTAATAACTACAACTTATTACATGTTTACTGTGAAGGATCTTTTACCCATATTGGCTCATTTGGTCTTCACATATAAGTATTGTTCCATTTTTATAGATGAATAACCTAACTCAGAACATTGTATTATCTATGTCACCCTGAGATGATAAACAGGGACTTTCAAATATAAAGCCCTTCCTTTTCTCACTATGTTTTGTTGCATCTCAAGTATTTATTTAATGCAAACATGTTAACTATATTTACGTTAATTCATGCAGTCCTCACAACCAAAGTGTAAGGGTAAATGATTTGCCTGTGTCACAGGGCTTTTACAAATGGAGGCTAATCCTGCTGTAACTCAAAGGCCTATGCTCTCTCTACTCTCATTGCCCCCATGATCATCTGGTCTTGAGTTGTCTGTGTATGTATTCTAATAAAATTTTATCTTGGGACACTGGAATCTTAATTTCTTAGAATTTTTTAAAACTTTTTATTTTTACATAATTTTAGATTTTCATAAAGCTTCAAAACCTTTACAGGATGCACCATTACTGTTACACACAAAACTAATTGACATTGGTACAATCCACGGATTCCAAAGTCTCATTTACAAGCACATATTTCTCTCTTTCTGTGTGTGTGTGTGTGTGTGTGTGTGTGTGTGTGTGTGTGTGTGTCATTCCAAGCAATTTCATCACTTTTGTGTAGCTTTGATAACCATCACTACACACAAGATACAGAACTGTTCATCAGCCCATGACTGATGCTATCCCTTTATAGGCACATTCATCTCTTTTCTCCCCCATCGCTAACTACTGGAAGCCACTTATCTTTTCTCCATCTTTATAAATTTGTTAATCTAAGAATATTATATAAATAGAATAATGCAGTATGTAATGTTTTGCTATTTTTTTCACTCCATAAAATTCTCCAGAGAACCTTCCTAAGCTGTTGCACATATCAATAGTTCATTTTTCTTGTTACTGCCATGTAGGACCCTTTGGTATTGATGTACCACAGTTTGTTTAACAATTTACCCATTGAAGGGCATTTAGGTTGCATCCAGTTTAGGGCTATTAGGAATATAGTTGCTATTAACATTCATGTACAGGTTTTTGCATGAGCATGTTTTCATTTCTTTGGGATAAATGCCTAACTGCAATTTCTCAGTCATATGGGAAGTACATAGTTTTTAAAAAGTGGCTGTACCATTTTACATTCCCACCAGCAACACGAGTGATGCAGTTTATTCACATTCTTGCCAGTACTGGTGTTATCACTATTTATTAGTTTAGTCATTATCATGGCATGTAGTGATCTATCAATGTGGGTTTTTTTTTTTTTTTTTGTCTAATAGCTAATGATATTGAGAATCTTTTCAGATTCTTATTTGTCATCTGTATATCCTCCTCAGTGAAATGCCATTTCATATATTTTGTCCATTTTCAAATTGATTTTCTTACTATTGGGTTTTGAGAGTCGTTTATATATTATAGCTACAAGTCCTAGGTCAGACATATGGTTTGCAAATATTTTCTCCCTATCTGTAGCTTGCCTTTTTCATTCTCCTAACAGGGTATTTCTTACTTGAATTATTTTCTAAAAATATCCAGTGAATGTTAATTTTTCTAAGCAACTTTAAACAAGGCCACTAGTAGTAAAAAACTATAGATTGTACAGTATACTGCATTTCTGCTTATAGTTCTCTATATACACAGGTCTAAGATAGCAAAAAATAAATATGATTTATTTGTTTTGCCCAATTTTCCTGCATCTTGTTTCCATAAAAAATATTGAAGTGGCTCACAATTATTATTCAAACACCTGTCATACACATTCCATCCCTGGCCTTATCCTTTCCCCCTTTATCCTTTACATATTTGTATTAGGAAAAGAACATCCCCTCTTGTGGGTAACCCCCCATACAGGCACTGAGGAAGGACAGCTAAGCAAAATCCTGGCACAATTAGTGCCTGAAGACTATCTCAGTTTACAGTGATTACTACTCAGTTATTTCCTCTTATATAATCCTTTATAAATAATCATATATTAGTTTATAGAATTAGAGCTTAAACAATATCTCAGTTTATAGTCTTACCACTCAGTTATTTCCATATATATATATATAACTATATCTTAGTTCATAATTGGAGGAATGCCTAGAGCAGACACAGTACACAGCATGAATTAAGGAATAAGCAGCTTATAGTCGGAGGAATGTCTAGAGCAGACACGGTGCAGAGCATGATTTAAGGGAAAACAGTTATACCAGAACAAGAATCCATGGCCCAAATATCCACTGTACGGCAGGCTTAGGGCAAGAGCCACTATTCCTGATGGAGTTGTAGGACGAAGGCTGTCCTCAGACCGGCAATCCCTCAAGCACTCTAGGGCTCAAAACCCCTCCAGATAATTGCACCTTGGTGACTGTGAACTTTATCAGCTCTTGTTACTGTGCTAGCTCAAAAGCATCCTCCTATAGAACTCATTGGAAGCTGCCAACAGATGGTGGTACACCCTGATATTTCTGCCACTGCTGTGTGACTGAAGCATCCTCTTACAGTCTTAGGAGTAGCATGCCCTACTGCACACTGCACCCTCTTCACTGCGCAAGGCCCACCTCCATGCCTCAGTGACCTAATGGGGGTGGACCTCTTACTGCACATGGCCCACCTCCTTTCCTTGATGGCCTAATGGGGGTGGACCCTTTGCTGCGCACTGTCCACCTCCTAGCCTAGGTGACCTAATGGGGGTGGACCTCTTACTGCACATGGCCCACCTCCTTTCCTTGATGGCCTAATGGGGGTGGACCCTTTGCTGCGCACTGTCCACCTCCTAGCCTAGGTGACCTAATGGGGATGGACCCCTTGTTTTATTGCTCACGGCCCTATCACTATCCTTAAAAATGACTTCACTCACTACCCTGCCCCTTAACCTATACACAATAAATACTGATGCCTCTGGACATTCGGGGCCTCACCTGTCTCCACTTATAGGTGGTGTGGCCCCCCTGAGCCCAGCTGTACTTTCTTTGTACTTCTGTGTCCTGTCTCTAAGGGACAACCCACGACCCTGTGGGGCCCTTAGCCCTACACCTCTCCCTTCTTTTCCGAAACCAAGGGCCTCTCAAGAATAACAGGAGGAAGTTTTTTTTTAATTATAAAATTCAAGTTATTTTGCTTAATATAGTATGGGGGATATATGAGGGGACCTTAATCTTCACAGCGCAATGACCTGATTTTTAAAAATAACCCAAGTTCCTGTCCAAAAGCAGAGCAAAACAGAACACTATTTGCTCCAGCTACAGAAAAGGTGGGAGACATTGGAAACCATCTGAGTTGATGGGTTTTCGGAAAAGACTCTGATCAGCTCATAATGGCCACATGATACACCCTGACATCCTAGGATTAAGGCCATGAGCCATGGAAGGAGGTTGAAGGACAAATTAAATAGAAAAAAGAATTCCTAATATCTACAATCTTATAGTCTATGTAAGAGTTTGGTTACACTACATGAACCTGAAATAGAGGATGGATTGAAGTCTCCATTATTCCATGTGATGATGATAAAACAATTTCAAGAAATCCTAAGACCATTTTATAATGAATTCCTTCTTTCCAATGTAAAGGGCATAGTGTTAGATTGCTTACTCTTTTGTTAAAATTTACTGGATGTTAATTGTTCAGCACTGGCTAGGCATCGAGAACATAAAAATAAATGAGAAGAGTTCTTGCTTTCAAGATATTCCTATTGTTGCAGAAGGAGACTGTGGTAGGTAGAGAGCTACAAAATATAATAGATAATAGAGAAGGATGTTAAAAAAAAAAAAAGGAATAATCAGTTCTGCCAGGATGAATAGTAGAGTTATGAGGAAGAGCTATTTGAGCTAAGTCTTGCTAGATGTTTTTTAATCAAATGTTTTTCTTCCATAATGAATAAGAAACAATTAGAAAAAATGGGAAAATTGAATTTTGAAGGATGAGTTCATCAGGAATAAGCCAAAGCTTGTAAAGAAATTGTATTCATTCATTCATTCATATTCATTTAGCAAATATTAATTGCCTCCACTCCAAACTAGATTCCAAGAGCCCAATAAATGGTACTTGCCAAACGGAACCTGTCGGCTAGCAAGATGATAGAGATCAGACAGTTGCCACACAATGTGAAAAGTGCCGTGAAAAAGCAGCATAGGGTGATGTGGAAGCACATGGTTGCCTGTAATCTGGACATACTGAAGACACTGAGATTTACAGTTAAGCTAGGGTCATTTTAAGCACTGCCTTACTGTATTTAATGACATTTCGAAACATGGAGTGAAAGGAAAAGTCCAGGTGAACCGTTAGAAGCTTCCAGTGATGTTCCTAACTTTGCAAATGAACAAAAATCTAATGTAGACATATCCTGGAAACTTCTCAAAGTTTGCCTGCATTTTTCCATTCCAAATAGTGGTTTGGACATTTAACAAATGGAGGCCTCAAAGGGTTATCCTGGTAAGATTTTTTAGATACAGCAGGGGCTTGAAGGAATGTTGATTCCATTCCTCTTGGCCTCCTTTTACGAATCCAGTTCTGTGCTAGCTCCGTGAGTAAATGAAAAATGCCTTCCAAATTTGGATGCCAGAGTTAAACAGCAAAGGAACCCATATCAGCTAAGTGTGGGAAAGGAAAGATGTACTGGTCGCTATATACTTTCATACATTATTTTAACCTCATAACTCTATCAATTCAGATGATAAAACGGTTAAAAAATAGAGGCTGAGCACCTGGTTGTCCACGGACACACTGAGCCACAGGAGCACACGTGCCCTGCAGGGTCCAGGGCCCTCTGAGGGTTCGGGCCTTAACGCCTAGGAATGTGCCTTTGGCTTCTGCGTTTCTCGATCTGGTTTCTTGCCGGGACGCCACTGGCTAGCATCGTGCCTGACCCTCAGTGCTCAATCCCTAGTAGTTGGGAGGACGAAAAAGGAAATCCCTCTCTAATCGGTCCTCACCACAGCCCTGTGCCAGGCCGTCACACGTGGCCTCCAGAGTCGAAGGTGCTCTGAGGAGACTCAGGTTGTGTCCCAAACCTCCCACCTCAGGGCTTCCTGAATGTCTCTCCAAGTCCCTCGGGCCCTAAGGCGTCAGGCCAACCCCAGGCCTCCACTCGGCCCGACCACTCCCCGCGGCCGGAAATGGCGGCGCCGCGCGCAGTAAATGCGTGCCGGGCGGCGCAACTTCCGGCGGTTGGTGGGGCCACCGTGTCTTACCAGTCAGCCGGCGCGAGTGCCGGAGGCACCTCGACAGGAGCATTACCGAGGAGGCGCCTCGCCGGGCGTCCTTCCCGTCCCCTGGGTCCTTTGAATCTAATTTGGCTGGGACTCACCTTCCGGCGGCACGGAGGATTTCGCGGCTCTGACTTTCCGGAAGTGGGGGCGGTCAAGATGTGCTCGACGCCTGGGCTGCCGGCGCCCGGGGCCTCTCTGGCCCTGCGGGTGTCTTTCGTGGACGTGCATCCCGACGTGATCCCGGTGCAGCTGTGGGGACTGGTGGGCGAGCGGCGGGGCGAGTACCTGCGGCTGAGCCGGGAGATCCAGGAGGCGGCGGCCACGCGCGGCCAGTGGGCGCTAGGCAGCGCCTCGGCGTCGCCCGGCGAGTTGTGCCTGGTGCAGGTGGGGCTTTTGTGGCACCGTTGTCGCGTGGTCAGCCGGCAGGCGCAGGAGAGCCGCGTCTTCCTGCTGGACGAGGGCCGCACCATCACTGCCGGCGCAGGCTCGCTGGCGCCGGGGCGCAGCGAGTTCTTCCACTTGCCCTCGGAGGTGCTGGGCTGCGTGTTGGCGGGCCTGGTGCCGGCAGGCTGCGGCGCGGGCGCTGGCGAACCGCAGCACTGGCCCGCCGACGCCCTGGACTTCCTGAGCAACCTTCAGGGCAAGGAGGTGCACGGGTGCGTCCTGGACGTGCTGCTGCTCCATCGCCTGGTCCTCCTGGAGGTGCCGGAGGTGTTCCAACAGATGGAGGAGCTGGGCCTGGCTCGGAGGGTACCCGACAGCCTCTTCCGCTTGCTGCTGGAGCGCTATCTCTCAGCTGCCTCTGCTAGCGTGGGCCCCGGGGTTCCGGTTCTCTCGCGAATCCCGCCCAAGCAAAAACAGCCTGGCCTGGATTACTTCTATCCCCAGCTGCAGCTCGGCGTGACGGAGCCCGTGGTCGTAACCCAAGTGTGCCATCCCCACCGCATTCACTGCCAGCTCCGCAGCCTCTCACAGGAGATCCATTGCCTCTCTGAGGGCATGGCCCAGGTATACCGGGGTTCCACCGGGACAGGGGATGAGAACTCTACTAGCGTCACCTGGGAGGAGAGGGAGGAGAGCCCAGACAAGCCGGGCTCTCCGTGTGCATCCTGTGGCCTGGATGGACATTGGTATAGAGCGCTCTTGCTTGAGACTTTTCGGCCTCAGCGCTGTGCTCAGGTGCTTCACGTGGACTATGGAAGGAAGGAGTTAGTGAGTTGCAGCAGCCTTCGGTACTTGCTGCCTGAATATTTTCGAATGCCAGTGGTGACTTACCCTTGTGCTTTGTATGGACTCTGGGACAGTGGGAGAGGCTGGTCTCGGTCACAGGTCGGTGACCTGAAGGCACTGATATTGGGCCAGGCAGTGAATGCAAAGATTGAATTTTATTGCTCCTTTGAGCATGTATATTATGTCACCCTGTATGGAGAAGATGGGATTAATCTGAACCGTGTGTTCGGAATACAGTCGTGTTGCTTGGCTGACCGAGTCCTTCAGAGCCAGGGAACAGAGGAAGAGGAAACAGAAACATCTCCTCAGTCTCAGTCTCCTGCTGAAGAAGTAGATGAAGAGATTTCACTCCCAGCCTTAAGATCTATCAAGTTAAAGATGAATACCTTCTATGATGCGCAGGTAGAGTTTGTTAAAAATCCTTCTGAGTTCTGGATTAGGTTGAGGAAACACAACGTCACCTTCAGTAAGCTGATGAGGAGAATGTGTGGTTTCTACTCCTCTGCCAGTAAGCTGGATGGTGTAGTTTTGAAACCTGAACCTGATGACCTTTGCTGTGTCAAGTGGAAAGAAAATGGCTATTATAGGGCCATAGTCACCAAATTGGATGACAAGAGTGTGAATGTATTCCTAGTTGACCGAGGCAATTCGGAAAATGTGGACTGGTATGACGTAAGGATGCTGCTTCCTCAGTTTAGGAAGCTACCGATATTGGCTCTGAAGTGCACCCTAGCTGATATTTGGCCTTTAGGAAAAACTTGGAGCCAAGAGGCAGTTTCCTTTTTTAAAAAGACTGTGCTCCACAAAGAATTAGTCATCCATATTCTCGATAAACAGGATCATCAATATGTTATTGAGATTCTTGATGAATCAAGAACAGGGGAAGAAAACATTAGTAAGGTAATTGCCCAAGCTGGATATGCCAAGTATCAGGAATTTGAAACAAAGGAAAATATCCCAGTAAATGCCCACTCCCCAGGGCACGTTTCAAATCATTTTACTGTGGAGAATAACAAAATACCTTCTGCCAAGACAGGAGAAGGAGAACAGAAAGCCAAGGGAGAGGATAAAACCACATCTGTTTCAAAAGCTTTGAGTGACACAACAGTTGTGACAAATGGTTCAACTAAACTGGTTGTTCGGGAAAAACAGAAAAGAGCATCTGTTTATTTTCCTGTTATACAGAATTTCTTGGAAATTAAGCCAGGCTCTTCTAGTAAAGAAGAGCTGGAAGTTGGAAGTACGGTAGAAGTCAGAGTGTCTTATATTGAAAACCCTGGCTATTTCTGGTGTCAGCTGACCAGGAACATACAAGCACTTAAAACTCTAATGTCTAATATTCAGGACTATTGCAAAAATACAGCTGCTCCTTACCAGGGAACCACCCGTGCTTGTTTGGCTAAGCGAACGGTAAACAGACAATGGTCCAGAGCTCTCATTAGTGGGATACAATCTGTGGAGCATGTCAATGTAATATTTGTAGATTATGGGGACAGAGAAATGGTATCTGTGCAGAATATTTATTCAATTAGCGAAGAGTTTCTCAAGGTTAAGGCTCAGGCTTTTAGGTGCAGTCTTTATAATATAATTCAACCAACTGGCCAAAATCCTTTTGTTTGGGGTGAAAAGGCAATACAAGCTTTTAATGAATTTGTAGATAATGCATGGCAAACAAATCTAGAATTAAAATGTACAATATTTGCTCTGGCTTCAATTAATGATGAAGAACTATTTAACGTTGTGGATTTGCTAACACCCTTTCACAGTGCATGCCATTTCTTGGTAGAAAAGAGACTTGCAAGACCAGTAAAACTTCAGAAGCCTCTGAAGTCCTCTCTTAAGCTACATTCTTACTTCTATTCTATGCATGATATGAAAATTGGAAGTGAAGAATTAGTGTATATAACGCATGTTGATGACCCTTGGACATTTTATTGCCAGCTGGCAAGAAATGCAAATATTTTAGAACAGTTGTCATGTAGTATTATGCAATTAAGTAAAGTTTTGCTGAATTTAAAAACATCTCCTTTGGACCCTGGAACTTTGTGCCTTGCCAAGTATACTGATGGAAACTGGTATAGGGGCATAGTAATAGAAAAAGAGCCGAAGAAAGTCTTCTTTGTTGATTTCGGGAACATTTATGTAGTAACAAATGATGATCTGCGTCCAATACCTAATGATGCATATGATGTCTTACTTTTGCCCATGCAAGCTGTCAAATGTTCATTATCTGATATTCCTGATCATATACCAGAAGAAGTTGTGGTGTGGTTTCAGGAGACTATTTTAGATAACTCTTTGAAGGCTTTAGTTGTAGCAAAAGATCCAGATGGAACACTAATTATAGAACTATATGATGACAATATTCAAATTAGTGCTAGTATTAATAAGAAGTTGGGGCTACTTAGTTACAAAGATAGTAAAAAGGAAAGTGAACTGCTCCTCTCTACAACTGAAACTCTTGCAGAAAAAAATGAGAATATGAAGCTGCCATGTACAGAGTATTTAACGCAATCAGAGAACAAGTTACATAGTAAAGAGATGTTGGAAGAGTCATATAAACCTAAGATCAACTCATCATACAAGGAACTCAAACTTTTACAAAGTTTAATGGAAACAAAATTAGTCACTCAATATCAAGACAGTGTGGGAAATAAAAATTGTCAAGTGTTCCCATTGTCAACAGAAAAGAAAGAAATTTCTGCTGAGCCACCCATGAAAACAGCAAGAGTAGAAGCCACTCTTTCAGAGAGAAAAATAGGAGATTCATGTGACAAAGATTTTCCTCTGAAATTTTGTGAGTTCCCACAGAAAACTATAATGCCTGGCTTTAAAACAACTGTGTATGTTTCTCATGCAAACGACCTATCAGACTTTTATGTTCAACTAATAGAAGATGAATCTGAAATTAATCATCTTTCAGAGAGATTAAACAGTGTTAAAACAAGGCCCAAATCTTATGCAGGTCCACCTTTGCAACGAGGAGATGTGATATGTGCTATTTTCCCAGAAGACAATTTATGGTATCGTGCTGTGATCAAGGAGCAACAACCCAATGACTTTCTGTCTGTGCAGTTTATAGATTATGGCAATGTTTCTGTGGTTCATATTAACAAAATAGGTAGACTTGACCTTGTTAATGCAGTATTGCCAGGATTGTGTATTCATTGCTCCTTGCAGGGATTTGGGATTCCCGACAATAACAATTCTAAGAAAATGATGCATTACTTTTCCCAGCGGACCAGTGAGGCTGTAATAAGATGTGAATTTGTTAAATTTCGAGACAGATGGGAAGTTATTCTTGCTGATGAACACGGGACCATAGCAGACGATATGATTAGCAGGTATGCTCTCAGTGAAAAATCTCAAATAGAACTTTGTACCCAAGTAATTAAAGGTGCCAGTTCAAAGTCTGTTAACAAATTAGACATTGACACTTCAGTATTTCTTAACTGGTATAATCCAGAAACAAAAATGATAAGAGCTTATGCCACTGTGATAGATGGACCTGAGTATTTTTGGTGTCAGTTTGCTGATACCGAGAAACTTCAGTATTTAGAAGTAGAAGTACAGACTGCTGGAAAACAGGTAGTAGACAGGAGAAATTGTATCCCATGTCCTCATATTGGAGATCCTTGTATAGTAA